AACATAAAGAAATACTCCAAGAACAGCCAACAAAAATATGTACTATTGGGAAGTAAAAAAGTTATCCACAGTAGAATGGCCTGAAATTACCATTCTGAAACATTTTCATCAAAAAAGCTGGACTGGGGGGTGAGCTCAGAGGTAGAGCACTTGCCTGGCATGCCTGATGCCCTGTGTTTGATTCCTAGCACTGCAAAAAACAAAAAGATAAAACAACAACAAAAATCTGACTTATGCAAATGTTGTTCTCTCTGTGTGTGCTTAGTCTCTGTGTTACTCTGACTGGGTGACTTACAAAGAAATTAAATTGATTTCTCACAGTTATGCAGGCTGAGAAGCTCAGTATCACTGTGCTGGCAGCTGGTAGGTGCCTTCTGGCTGGGTTATCCATAGTGGAAGCCAAGAAGGTGAAGGCCAGACACATGGCTTTTTATAACAGTGTTGTCACAATTCTGCCTTCCAACTTCCCCTGGATACCCTTCACGATTCTCACCTGCTCCCAGGTTTTATCAGATATTCTACACTGTGAATCTCAAATCTCTTCTCTTCAGATCTTCGAATGCCTAGTAGCCATGTCCCACCCCCAAGCCACTAGAACTCAGCCTGATCAAGGTGGAATTCAGCTTCCTGTCATCACCCCTGTTCCTCTTCTCAAATTCTTCACTGCTGGCCTGAAGATTGAAGAAATTCTCCTGCGTTAGCCTCCCAGCACTGAGATTATGGGTGTAAGGAACCACACCCAGCTTTTTTGTTTTTTTAAGAATCAGTCTATCATGAAAACCTGTTAAATGTAGCTAATAACTCTCAACCCATTCCGCTACTGTTAGTTACCTAATTATTCCCAGGAACCTCCTTGACACCCTTCAAACTGGACTTGTCTCTCATCAGGCCACTATACTCTGCCAGCAAAATGCATTCCCCCAGTTTAAAGTCCCTGTGGCTTTTAGGGTAATGTCTAAGACTTCACATTGGGAGCACGGCAATTTTTCCACTTTACCTACCACCCTTCTCAACTGTTCCACACACCCCAGGCTCCTGCCCCAAACAAGCCATTCCTTTTCACGCTTTTAGGCCTTCTCCTGAATTAGCCTTGCTTGGAATGTTCTTTCTAGTGTTTACTCAGTTGCTCAGTAAGGTGTGGCGTGCACATTGCAGTGAGGACTTGGTTAATCTTCCAATCCACAGACTCAGTAACTTCCTCTTTTGACCCCATAGGATCCTGTTTGCACTGATCAATTATTTCACCAATTTACCTACTTGCAAGATTCTCAAGGGGCACTTGAAGATACAGATTCCCAGGGCCCTCTCCAAGGACTTCTAATTCAATTGGGCCTAAGAAACTATAGGGGGTTTTGTTATTGTTGTTGTTTTTTAAAAATGCCTCAGGCAATTTTAATGCTTAGGCAAATCTAGGGTGTACTAACCAATACTACAGAGCTTACCAGGAGTTTAATAGCTCACAACCCTAGTTATTTGCTGACGTACTTGCCTACTTCACCAGACAGGAGTTGCTCTACTCACACTTGTCTTTGAATCTTTGGGCCTAGAATATTGTGGAGGCTTAAAATTTATTGACTGAATGCTAAATGTTTTCAATCAAATGAATATGAGATATTCACAATATTTCCTGAATTTTGTTAGTTGAGTGCTATCATAAGAGGTGGAGAGCCAGGTGCTGGTTTGGTCTTGAAAGAAAATGAGTGCCACTGTGATAGGATTGTTTTGTTTTGCTTTCCAAAGATAGTTTGGGCTCTAGAAAATGTACACTTTGCTTATCCCATGACACTTCTTTATTCTTGGAAATTATCTACCTCAGATCCTTTCCTGGGATCCCTCCCTCTCCAGGGATTGTCAGGCACCAGCTGTGTTCTAAACCTTTGGTTTGACACTTTCTCTTTCTCACCAATCAGCTCTGGCACACTGCTTGGTCGGCCTCCCTTTGTAGTAGTTCCTGTGTCTTTTAATCTCATTTCTCACCACTCTCCATCTTCACATTCTACACCCCTTAGTCTGACCCCTGAAACTGCCCCCAAAACCAAGTTCTTCCTTGTTTCTGGGACTAATCAATGCAAGTCCTCTTTTTGTTATTTAATTAATAAATAATAACCATGTGATGCACGCGCGCACACACACACACACACACACACAGAGGTATGTGGAAGATCCTGCTTCTTATCACTCCAGTATTCATCCTTTCCACCTCTGGAAATAGGTAACCATTTCTGTGAAGATTTTTATTATGTCTTATTAGTTTCTTTATGCAAATAGAAGTAAACTTTAAGATATGTATTGCTTAATCCTCCTTTCTGCACTATTAGCAAGGTGTTCCCAGATCTATATTGGTGAGTCTACATTGGTACAGAGAGTTTTCTTAGTCATTTTACCCTTGCATAATGTTCCACTGTATGAATGTACAATGACGTATTCAACTACTTCCTTTTGATGAAAAGTTCCAATCTGTTACTATTACAACAGTATTGTAATTAATAAATTTATACTTAATTTCTCATACGTGAAAAATATGTATATGGGATTACTAGGTCAGATAGTATGGGCATTTGTAATACTGATGGACAAAACCAAACTGCCTCCCATGGAAGATTATACCAATCTATACTCCCATCAGTAACAGATGAGTGTTCCACATTCCCACTGGCTTTGCCACAGACTATTAAGACTTGGTTTTCTGCCATTCTGATGGATGAAAATAGTATTTCATGGAATTTTTAGTTTAACTTTCTATTATGAGTGATATTGCACATATTTTATTATGTTTAGGACTGTATTTCCTTTTTTCCTTATGATTTATACAAGGTCTTTATATATTAGGTAATCCTCCCATCAGTTCTTTGTTCCTTAATTTTGTGAATGATGTTGTTTATGACTGTATTTACAGTGTTGCTTATCAGACAGTGGTTGCAGTTTTAAAAATATAGTCAAATTTATCAATCTTTTCTTTCAACGTGAACCCCAATTTTCTGGTTACTCTGCTTGGAGACAACTAGTTGAGTTGAATGTGGGTACTATGTCAAGCAAGCCAGAAAAACAGACCAGTGTTGGTTAATCTTACAGGGAAGTCTAAATAAGAAAGTGTTTGGGGTTTTGTTCTTCAGATGTTTATATGGTTCTTCAAGCTTTTCCTCTGAAGAAGAAAGAGAATACATAATCTCAATTATAAATTGTATATTAAAGTCTTATAATCTTGCTGTATGAACTTATGATTATATTAATTTATGTTTTGTCATTATATTTGAGAAATAATAAATTACATATCGCTAGGTTTTATACTAGAAAACTGTTATACATTGATTGACTATTGTATTTAATGCTATCATATATGAAAGTAATATAATGGCTATAAATTTCTTAGAAGATAAATATAGGTCAAACTTAATATATATACATATGCACATATATATGTACTTTTTAAGACAGGGTCTATGTAATCCAGGCTCAACTTCAACTCTCTATATAGCCCAAATTGGCCTCAAATTCAAAATCCTCCTGGTTCAGCCTCTCAAGTGCTAAGATTACAGGTGTGCACCATCGTGTCTGGCTGGAATCTATAGTAATTTTTACTTTATAATAAGGTTCTAGGTTATACCTGACTAGTTAGTGGACATTCATTCCTACTTGATCAAATTCAACCCTGTCAAAACTAAGGGAAATAAAGACACATGATTTATTTGATTAGAACCTTAGAGTACATGAAAGGTGAGATCATGTTTAGTAGGGCAGTTTAAATCAGATAATCAAAATAATCATGTAAAGTCAGGTGTGGTGGTGCATACCCATAATTCAGCTGCTTGTGAGGCTGAGGCAGGAGGTGAGCTTGACAATATACAGAGACTCCATCTCAAAAAACATGAAAACAGATGTGGACATAGCTCAGTGGGAAGGCCTTGAGGCCAATCATTACTACTGAAAAAAAAAAAAGATTATGTACCAATAAAAATATTTTTTAAAAATAAAATTGCCTCAAATTCAGGTAAGACAATTGCTCCATCCCCTAGTTTACCATCATTTTTAAAAAGTGAAAACAACTCATTTAGTATTTGAAATCTTCAACTCAGTGCCCTAGTCTATTAAGTAAATTAATCATTTAAAATTCCAAATAAGATAGTATTAGTCACATTACCTTTTTTTAAATATATGAGATTGTATTCCTACCTAGGTTATAAGAATCATCATTTTCCATACTTCTTTTATTCCTTCAATTAGCTTTAAAAAAAATACTCAGTGGGCATGACTTACCGAAGACAGAGCTGGGGGCTGTGGGTACAGTGATGAGAGATAGAAGGCTGTGACTCCTAAGCCACCTCTGAATCGAACCATCATGCCAGAAGGACTTGGCAAACATTTATTGTTGAAATTGTGCTGAAGAGATATTGAACACCTATCTAGAATTGCCAGATTTAACAAAAAAAAATCCAGTATGCTCCATGCAATATTTTAGATATACTTACACACAAAAAAATTTTTGTTTGTCTGAAGTTCAAACATCCTGTATTTTATCTGGCATCTTACTAATGGTTTACTTCTCAGAAAATAAGCCCATACCTTGCATTCATTATTTGTTTAGGCCATTTGAACACTTAAGATGTTTCTCTGTGTCTTTCTCTTTTTCTACTCCACTGATAAAATTCTCTCTCTAGGAACTATTGCCAAAGGAATATCTCTCTTTTCTGGTGTTGATCTTTTTCTTGGTTCCCAACTTTTGGTGCTAAAAACAATTGCATTATGGGAGAACAACATATGGAATCTGTAAAGTCTACAGTTTTACAACTAGTAGCTTTGAAATTGCAGACATAATTTTTCAGTTTAGAGAATTTTTCTATCAAGACCCAATACCCTATATTAAAAGTATTTGGGGCTGGGATTTAGCTCAGTGGTTTCACGGCCTGCTGCTCAAGTGCAAGGACCAGAGTTCGATCCCCTGTACCAATAAAAATAAAAATAATAATAATAAAAAATAAAAACATTTGGCTTCCACACATTACCTGGACATAAGCTGGGAGCAAGTTCATTGGCTTGGAGGTGGTAGCTGAATGGGATACAGAATCCTGGAAGGTGAGTGAAATGCAAGAAGGATTCTTTCAAGGATTGGCCGGGCATAATTTCAGACTCCAGAATGACTGAATTTGGATGTTCTAAACAGGTGCACCCTCCCCCTCTATTAACCAATGAGTAAAAGAGCTATTTTTTTTTTTTTTTGGAAATTGGCCATTTCTCTGCCAGCTGGCACAACTCACTGATTCCACAATAAAAAGTAGTTTGAAGCAGAAAAGGACAAAGTTCCTCACAGGTCAGTCTACAGGTTTAACTTTTATAAAATGTCCTTAAAGAAACAAACATTTCAATCTACCTGTGTATACATACACAATCACTTTTTCATTAAAAAAATATCTTCCATCCAGGTTCCAAGACTGACAGAATTACTTCTTATTTTGCAAAGCTGGAAACAAGGTGTATGATTTGCTTTCTTGGGCTAGAAAACATCTAGCCTCTGACTGAGGCCACATTTTCACTTGTCATCACACCAAAAGCCAGTAATACATTGGCTGATCCAACAAACTTCTGTAGTGTTCAAAGATGTCCAGAGAACAACATGAGAACAGAGCACTTCATACCCTACCGCTAATGGAATTTGGGAATGGGTGACCCTATTTTTTGCCCTAAATTTCTACTCAAGGAGAGGCCAAGAACTGGCCTTCCATAAGCATCCCAATATAGCACTCCTGACACAGGGCTGGGAAACTGACCTCTCTTTTTCACATAAATCTGGAGTCTCTACATAAATGTTTCTCTGGAAGCAACACCAAGAAACATCCATTTGTGAAGATTTTATAAAAAGCAAAATATGAGTTGACATTCTATTCCTACAAACATAACAAAGAAAGCTCTATACAGGAAAAAAAAATCCTCAATCAAGGAGTAAGAAAACAAACAAAAAAACCCCATGGTTCTCAGGCTTCTTTGTACTCCATGTGGCAAAAATGGAGCCTAATAGTAAAAGCCAAAGACATAATAGCAAACACAATGATAAAGCTCTCCTTTGAGGACTCAATTTACTTTGAATATACTTTTGAAATTGGGGAGTGTGGGTAGGGGCACAGCCAGGGCCTATAAAGGGTTTCTGGGGCTCAGATAGGTCAGGTGAACTAATGAGGCCACCTGGAGAACCTTTGCCCTAAGCATAGAAAACCTGACATGGGAACAAAGCTTTGGTCTCAAGGAAAGTGATGAGTTTGTATGACCTGAATTTGTCTCCCAGTCCAGCTTCTGAAGCCTCACACTTGACTCCTTTAGAAAGAGAAAGACAGAAATGGATCAAAAAACTACCTTGCTAATAGTGCAGTCACAAAAGAGTGAGGGTAGAGAGTGAGGCTACCAGGGCTTTCAGCCTGACCACCACTGTGGCCCTGAGGTCCTCTCTTTTAAAGCTGCTCATATCCCTGGTTCCCCATTCTTTAAAAAAAAAATGGATGGAATAACAGCACCTAAAACACACGGTTATTGTCCATATTCAAAGACACCCAACTGCCAGTCCATAATAGGCTGGGTAAACATATATAGTGTCTATAAAATAGAGCCCTATACAGCAATAAGAATGGAGAAAGGAGAACACCACAAAACTATCAGGATGGGCCTTATGGAACTCTGCATCGAGAGAAGACAGTTACAGGAGATCACAGACAGTAGGACTCCATTTATATGAAGCTTAAAAACAGGATAAGCCAAAACTATTTAGATTTCGAAGACTTGGCAGACATCCTGAATGGCTGTGCACTGGACATGTCACACTGTGAATGGGACCTGCTCCCAGGGGACTTAGGAGAAAAACGTTAGGAGGCTGGGATCACAGCCTGAAAAATATGGCTTCTTTTTTGCAACTACAACTAGAACCACATTATGGTCTAATTATGTGGTTTAATGCCCCTAATCCCATACCCTGTTTCTGCTTTCATGCACAAGGAAAGAGACTCCTGCTGGGATTATCCAGAGTCCAGCCAAAAATGTAACTCCTAAAGGGGAAGACTAGGATTAAAAAAAATTAAAACAGGATTAACCCGATGAGCTGGCTGCAATCATTAAAATCATTGTGCAATCTTTATTTTACTCTATTTTGTTAACAACATGTACTGGTATGGTGTGTTTATAAATAGATTCAAAAAGGTAATGCAGCCTACATATCAATTCTCTATTTTTTTCTAGTATGTGCAAGATATTTTATCTAAATAAATGGAAGAAGCTTAAAATAGATACCTATGAGCCCGATACTGAGGTATTTAAATATCCACATATCCACACAGGAGAAAACACCTTTTCAATTACAGTTATGCAGGAACATCATGCAGCAACCTTGCATACTGATACAAGTTTACACAATTGGGCTGGGGATTTAGCTCAGTGGTTCTGCCACCTGCTCCACAAGGGCAAGGACCCGAGTTCAATCCCCAGTACCAAAAAACAACCAAAAAAAAAAAAAACCCACAAGTTTACACAATTTACACTATTGAGCTGTTTGCTTCTTGTCGGGTGATGGAAGCCCAGGGAACACAAGGCATAGTCCCTTGGACAAACACTGGAGCCACACTATTAAACTGAAGCTCAAGACATACTTGAGATGCATGTGGGTCTTGGCCTAGTTGCCCATGAGCAGCGAAACAACTTGAAATGCTCTGCACTACTCTCAGAATCTATGGGAAAGCACAAATAGCACCTAAAAGCTTAAAACCCTCTTTTCCCTCTCTATCGGATGGAGAAGAGAGATTCCCATGCAACTCTTCTATTGGCTCACCTCTGCCGAGGAATGTCTCTGGTTGCCTTTGATTTCTTCTATGCTTCTTCGGTAATATTCAGTCCCTTCAGTTTGTCTACCAGAGGAAGACAGACAGAATCCTGCAACCATCTGTACTTTATGTGTGCAGAGGGCCCTCATATTTACACTATCAACTGCATCTTTTCTTGATGCAGACACCTTGATACTGAGGGTGGGGGTTTTCTTTACCATTTTATGCTTGTGTTAGTTTTTAATTTCTCTCTTCCTCTCTCTCTGCTCCCCTCCTCATCCTTCCCTTCTCCTTCCTTTTTTCTCCCTGTTTTGTTTGTTTGTTTGTTTGGGCTGTACTGGTTATCTAACCCAGGGGAACTGTACCACTGAGCTGCCTCTTTGTTTTTCAAATTTTGAAACAAATTCTCACTAAATTGCCCAGGCTGGCCTTGAAAATGTGATTCTCCTGCCTCTGCCTCCAGAGTAGCTAGAATTACAGGCATGTGCCACCTCATCCAGCTATTTTCTTTCTTTTTCAAACATCTTTTTAGATACTATGCTTTATAACTTTTCTCTAATATGAATAGTCTGTGTAATCATATGTGTACTTTCCATCATAAGGACTAAGTTTCAAGCTCCATCTCAAGAATGGAGAACAATTGCTGTGCAGTTGAGATGGCTTCACAGCACCTCTCAGAGTATACTTTTGTTTTAAACTTGAAGTTATTTTTATTTTTATCAATATAATCCATTCACTTAGCATTCTCCAGTTTTACTGAGGTATGATTGACATAGAAAAATGTAATATATTTTAGAGTGTACAGATTGTCTTGTTTAAATGTTAGTTATTAAGTCTGCCAAAAGCCAAAGATCTTCTTGGTTCAATCAGAAAAATTAGCTTCAAGGTGTGCTGGCTAGACTCTGTGTACCTGCCTCACAGCTGTTTCTTTGCTAGTTTGTGCCCACAGACTGCAAGATGGAGAGAAATGTTACTCTGCTCCTTTGTAGACTGCTGGGTCAAACTAAGCAGACATGGGCAGGTTCTCTTACATCGACTGCCTGAGTCGCGCTGTAAGAAGAAGCAATCTCTCCTCTCGTCTATGCCATCCACTCAGCAGCTGAGAAGCAGCAACCATGCATGAGTGCATCTCCATCCACATTGGCCAGGCTAGTGTCCAGACTGGTAATCCCTGCTGGGAGTTCTACTACCTGGAACACAGCATCCATCCCAATAGCCAGATACCAAGTGACAAGACCACTCAGGGAGGAGATGACTCTTTCAGTACCTTCTTCAGTGAGACTGGTGCTGGCAAACATATGCCCAGGGCAGTGTTTGTAGACCTGGAACCCACATTCATCCATGAAGTGCACACTGATACCTCCCACCAGCTCTTCTACCCTGAGCAGCTTATCACAGGCAAGGCAGATGCTGCCAATAATTATGCCATGGGGACTACACCATTGGCAAGGAGATCACTGACCCTGTCTTGGATCAAATTCAGAAACTGGCAGACCAGTGCACAGGTATACTATTTCCACAGCTTTGGGAGGGGAACTGGCTCTGTGTTCACCTCCCTGCTGATGGAACGTCTCTCCATTGACTACACAAGAAGTCCAAGCTGGAGTTCTTCATTTGCCCAGCCCTCCAGGTTCCCACACCTGTCATTTAGCCCCACAACTCCATCCTCACCACCCACACCACCCTGGAGCACTTGTGCCTTCATGGTTAGACAATGAGGCCATCTATGACATCTGTTGTAGAGACCTCGATATTGAGCGCCCAACCTGCACTAACCTGAATAGGTTGATAGGTCAAATGGTATCTTCCATCACCACTTCCCACTTCCTTCTGATTTGATGGAGCCCTAAATGTTGATCTGACACAATTCCAGACCAACCTGGTGCCCTATCCTTGCATCCACTTCCCTTTGGCTACATATGCCCCTGCCATCTCTGCTGAGAAGCCTACCATGAACAACTTCCTGTAGCAGAGATCACAAACGCCTGCTTTGAGCCGGCCAACCAAATGGTGAAATGTGACCCTTGCCATGGTAAATACATACCTTGCTGCCTGTTGTATCATGGTGACATGGTCCCCAAAGATTTCAGTGCTGCCATTGCCACCATCAAGAGCAAGCATACCATCCACTTTATGGACGGGTGTCCCACTGGCTTCAAGGTTGGCCTCCCTCTGTGGTGCTAGGTGGAGACCTGGCCAAGGTACATCAGGCTGTATGCTTGCTGAGCATGTGGCACGAGCATGTGGCCCACCTGAAACACAAGTTTGATCTGATGTACACCAAGTGTGCCTTTATTCACTGTTACATGGGTGAGAGGGTGGAGTAAAGGGAGTTTTCTGAGGCCCAGGAGGACATGGCTGCCCTAGAGATGGATTATGAAGAGATTGGAGCAGATAGTACTGATGGAGAGGAAGAGAGTGAAGAGTATTAATCTGTCTGCTGCAAGTTTACACTCTGGTGTCTCGTCTTACACATTTTTTTTTTTGGTTCTGTGGAATTATTTGAGCCCTATACTGTCAATAAAAATATTTTCATTAAAAAATAATAAAAGAAATGGAGGAAACAAGGTTGGCATTAATGACCAGCTTCCCATCATGGAGCCTGGTGGAGACCTGGCCAAGGTGCAGCAGGTTGTGTGTAAGCTGAGCAACACCACAGCCATTGCTGAGGCCTGGACCCACCTGGAACACAAGTTTGATCTGATGTACACCAAGCGTGCCTTTGTTCACTGATATGTGGGTGAGGGGATGGAGGAAAGGGAGTTTTCTGGGGCCCAAACGGCCATGGTTGCCCTAGAGAAAGAATATGAGGAGGATGGTGTGGCATCTGTTGAAGGAGAGGGCGAGGAAGGAGAGGAATACTAAAAATGTCACAAAGGTGCTGCTTTTAAAGGAAGTTTATTCTGTTCAAAACATTGAAAAGTTGTGGTCTGAGCAGTCAATCCATATGTAGCAGTGTATGCTCTCATATACAATTACTGACCTATGCTTTAAAAATAAATGCTTTGTCACCGACCCAAATTGTCCATTTCTCTGATGGGTTTTGAAGAAAGTATTTCCTGTCCTAAATTAAAACAAATAAACAAACTAAGCGACATCTTTCTGGACATAACTATCAAAGTGGAAACTTGGATCAGGTAAGCCAAGTTTTAGTATTTGTGTTATCTTTTTTCTCCTCTTCTTTACCCACCCATTCTCCACCCCTCATAATTTCTTCTCATTTCCTTTTTTCTAATGGACATGGTACTCATTAAAGTTGAACAGAAATGTAAATCTGAATTTTATTGATTGGACAAGATAAAAATTTCGTTTAAAAAGCATGGATGAGGGGCTGGGGATTTAGCTTAGTGGTTCTGCTGCCTGCCTCACAAGCGCAAGGTCCCAAGTTCAATCCCCGGTACCAAACCAAATAAACAAATAATCAAAAAGGCATGGATGAGATTTACATTAAACTTTGTTTCTGTTATTTATAAAGATTTCAGGTTTTTTCTTGTATCCAGAATTCTGGGTTGAATACACACACAATGAAGATAACAAACATTTATTCCACTAAATTGGGTAAAGAAAATGTTGAGAATAAAATTACATGAAAAATAATTCATTCGGGTCAGTAGTGCAGCTGGCTAGGGAATTGTATAAGATATATTATTTATTATGGTCAGTGATTGTAGAGCCAACCCAATTTATCTGAAGGACTCTAAAATTATGAGAATTTACTGAATAGGAATTAAGTGCCACTTTAGTTTTCATCTAAAATAACCAATTTGATTAATGGGAGTTCAATCTATAATGTAAAAAAGAAACTAGACATAAATGATGAAGTTTGGCTGTATCAACATTTCACAAACTGTTTTCTAGAGACTGTACTTTGAATTATTACTATGTCTTCCATGGTGACATGTCAGGGAACTGGGCATGGGGCAAATAAATTTGGAAAATGCTGAAAAAGATTTAGGTCATTATCCTAGAATTATGTTTTTTCTTCAAAAGCCTGCTAATATTATTCCTTTATCTATCTTGTAGACTTTGTGTACTTTTCTTACAACAGCCCCAAACAAGACACAACCCAAATGTCCATCAATCCATGAATAGACAAAAAAATGTGGTATATTCATAGAATGGAATCCTATTCAGCCATTAAAAGGAATGAAGTACACAACATGGGTGAACCTGTTACAACACAGCCAAATCTTGAAAAAATTATGCTAAGGAAAAGAAAAGAAATCAGATACAAAAGACCACATATTATATTATTTCACATTTATAAGAAACATTCAGAGAAGAAAAATATCTGGAGATAGAAAATAGACTAGAAGTTTCTTGGGACTTTGGGCAGGAATGGGAATGTTGCCAATGGGTACCAGGGATCTTTCGGTTGTGATGAAAATATCCAAAAATTAGGTTGTTGTGATGGCTACATGACCCTGTAAACTTACTTGGCATCTTTGAATTGTACAGTTAAAATTGGGTGAAATTTATATGACTTATTTCTCACTAAAGAAAAGAAAATCCTTTCTTCTTTGATGAAAACTTTGAGCTAGCCCATTTTATTCTCTCATTTAGAATCTCTTCAAATTCTTATAGCAGCTCCAAAATATACAATTTTATCTATGACCAAGACTACACATAACAACTCACTGTCAGTTATACCAAATAAAGACTCCTCCTGTTTGGTGATCTCTTTATTTTGATAAGACTGTGATAAACATGATTTGAACAACTTCAAGGCCAGGGCTAAGCTCATAAATGCTCAAGCTGAGACTCTAAAAGTACACAGGGAAATAAATTGTGGCATATTCACATCATGGACTATTTCACAGCAAGGTTTCTCAACCTCTGCACTATTGACATTTTGGGCCTGATAATTCTTGGTTGTGAAGTTGCTGTCCTGTGCCTTGCAGAATGGTTAGCAACAACCTCTCCCCAGCCTACGGGTTGTGACAAATGCTTCTAAATACTGCCAAAGTTCTTGCGAGGGGAAAATCACCCCAGTTTAGAACCACTTTTATACAGCAATGAGAATGAACAAATTCCAACTACTTACAAACAATATGGATAATTCACACAAACATAACTTTGAGCAAAAGAAGCTATACACATAAGAGTGTATAATGTAGAATTCCATTTATAATAAGAGTTCAAAACTGGCAAAATTAATCAGGATGTTTACTTCAAAGGAGACAGTGACTGGAAGGGGTGTCTGGGATTTAAGAAGCATCCTGTTTCCTAATCTGGGTGCTGATTACAAAAGTGTGTTCACTTCATGAAAATTCATTGAGCACCACACTTAAAACAATTTATATATTTTTCTCTCTATATTATATATTATAAATATATTATATTAAATATATTATATATATTATATATTGTAAACATATTACATATTGTAAATATATATTTTTCTATATATTTATTTTTTTCTATTTTTCTCTAGTCTACTTGAATAAAAAGTTTTAAAATATGGGTCATCACTGCTGCAAAAACAAGGGCATTCAAGGTGATGCAGAAGGGGCTCAACACCTTTCTAACAGGATGCTAATTCATTCCTTCATAGGCCCACCATGGCGCCTTCTGGCCCACCCGCAACTGTAAGACAGAAATCCAGTGTGTTCTGTTAATGAATGGAAGCTTGTTTCCGTGGTATTTCATTATCCAGGTGCCAAAGCCAAGAAAGAACCCCCCTACCCCAATTTTCAATTGATACTTACAAAGCACAGACTTAAAATTGATTTCACTGGGAATCAGCTATTGAGGCCAAACAAAGAAAGCCTCACTCTGATGCTAAAGAAAATAATGGTGCCAGTTCTCAAATCTGAGAGTGTAACAAGTCCCCCTTTAGTAATACCAATGCCTAAGGTGACTTTGCTGGCAACTACAGTTGTTTGTTACAATTGTGGAGAGTGAGTTGTGGTGATTAATTTGTGTTCTCCCTCTCAGATGGTATCCCATCTCTTGACCAATAACTTGCTGTTGCAGATAGTAGACCAGATACAGAGTAGAGTTTGTGATCATAGTGACCTTTGATCCAGGCTGAGTCAGTTTACATTGGCCCAGCCTAATAATAAAGCCAATGAATACACACTCTCTATATAACTTAGCTAAAAACTTCAAAGAATCAGGAGTTTCTTTTAACTTTTAAACTTCACATGTGCTTATATGTATATATACGTACATGTTCATAAATAAACAAGAGATAAACAAACAATTTTCCACAAATATCTCATGCCTCTGTACATCTTATGAATGGGGCTGACTGCCATTTATTCCAGACTAACTACTGAAGGATATTTGCATAGTGAACAGCCTTAGAAGCTAGGGATAATGTCTTCTTCTAGAATAAAGGGCCAGTCTGCTCAGTGCCTTTCAGGTTTAGGTTCAGGTGACCTATGATAAGGGTTGTTCTCCTTTGCTAAAACTTACTGAAATGCAGGCATCTATCTAGATGCATCCAAGTTGCTCCTGTGGGAGTTAGACCCAAAGGAAAATGACATTTGTGCTGATACTCACACTGCTTGCTGTGCCATCAGTATTGAGTTCCTTTATTTTTGACCCGTAAGTCTCATGTTTCTGTCAGTATCCATGAAATGATGGCAAGCCAACTTATCAAATCATAAATGGGCTAAAAATCTCAGACTCTTCAAAGTTCTTGACTGTGTACCTTAATTCTATATATATTTTTAACTTTCTGGTTTTTCCTTTTTTCTTTTTTTTTTTTTTTTGGTACCAGGAATTGAACTTAGGACCTTTCATTTGTGAGGCAGGAGGTGGAACCACTGAGCTAAATCCCCCGCCCTACTTTCTGGTTTTAAAAAGTAGATCTTTTACTCAGTCACTCAATAGGATGCTGGAGGCAACAATACTATTTATTGGTTTACTATGTATCCTTCCAGCAATATTGCATGCATTTATGTTTCATTTTCTTTTTTTTCCCCTCCAAAATGTTACCTGACTAAAGATAGTGTTTTGCACTATACCTTTTCTACATAACAAAAGGCTTGGAAACCCTACCATTTTGTTATATTATCATACATCAATCTTTTTTTTAAGAGTTTCAAATTAGTCCATAGTATGGCTATATTATAATAATAAAACTGCACAGTACAGAAATGGTCCTTTTATTGAGTGATATTTAGCTTGGTTTCCAAGCTTTTATTACTAAATGATGCACAAAATAACTTTGCACATATGCCATCTAACAAAATCTCTATAGAAAAAAGTGCTAGAATATGAATCATTAGCTCAAAGAATATGC